TCCTGTTAGCCCTTACCAAATCCAACACTGTTTTGAATGTATTTTTAAGCTATTTTTGAAAACTGTTTTTAACCTGTTTTGTGAAATAGGTTTTAAATAGGGTAAAAAGTGTATTTTTAATGTATTTTTCGACTGCTTTTAAAGGTGTTTTAACCTGTTTAAAACGCTATTAAAAAAGAATTTTTAAAGTATTTTAAAATGCTTTTAAAATATATAAAAAATTCCAGGGCTTTTGCAAGGCTCAAAACAGGTCAAAAACAGTTTTTAAATACCTTATAAATCGGAATAAAAACAGGATAAAAACAGTTTCAAAAACATATTTTAATTTACTATACTATTTTAAAACTATTTTTAATGTCAATTTTAAACGTATTTTGAAAAAAACAGGTTTAAAATAGGTACAAAAATATATTTTTGATATATTTTTCGACTGATTTTAAAGGTGTTTTAACCTGTTTAAAACGCTATTAAAATGTTATGCTTCAAAATATATTTTAATAGCTGTTTAATCGGTTTCGAAATTTAGTAAAATACTCGTATTTGCAAATACAATAAAAATACTTTGAAAACAGTATTAAAATACCACAGAAGAAGAAAAGCAATAGCACACATATATTATGAATTAAATACATCAAAAATAGGATGCAAAAATGCAAAAACAGTATAAAATTGTAAGAACATAGCCTTAGAGTTGTCTGAAAACAGTATAAAAATCGGTCGAAAGAGCATAAAAATAGTACAAAAACAGGATGGAAATACCATTTAAATTCATGAAATAAAATGAATACAAAACCGTCAAAAATTACCCTGAAAAAGCAAGATTTACCTCGGCGAAATTTCTCCACACAGTCCTAGGCTAGGACTTCAAGAGAATTATCTCTTAGCCGATTACTTTACGTTGATTTCCCTAAGAATTCTCGGGAAATTCTTATGGGATTTTTCAGAAATGCTCAAATCAATCTTTAGCCTGTGTACAGACCCCTTCCCTCAATAAAACTCGGAGGGGAGGGGTGGGGGGGTATGTACACAGGCTATCAACCTTTGGCTTCAAAAGGGTATAACGTTACTGACGTTACCGGTAAATATTAATCTACATGCATGTAACTTACATTGTTTATTATATTCACGGCTTTACTCAAATATCATCAGAAGCTTAATGCAGGCTACGCCTGAACATTAATTAGTGGCTGATAAAGAACAGCATACGAATAAATTTACGCGAGAATGAAAGAGGCCGGTGACGTGACATCAAGTGACTGAGATCATTTATACCAGTTTATACAAAACAGCGAGTCTCTGCGCTGCAAGGAATCCTGTAAAAAGTAAAATTGCCATACGGGCGCGACTATATAAATGTTTACTACCCTTCATTTGTTTCTCATATGGCGTATATCTAAGCGTCTTAGTAACATTGTATATTTAATACTTACAATTAGACTGTTGGACTCTTCTCCTGAACCAGAACCTTTCAAAGTACATAACAGTCGCTGAGGAGTCATAACCATTTTTGATTCGAGATAAAAGCAACATCTACGTGTTCCGACAATCCGCAGAGTTGGAGTGTACTTTTGTAAGATCGTAACAAACAGTAAAATCAAGCGCATTTAAGCTCACAGCAACCGCCCGGGAGCAACCGCCGGTTCAATAATTTGAAATGAGCAAAGGACAAAGGACGGTTTGCTTATCACGTGCATTTGTCACATCACCGCGGCGCGAAGTCGTGATTTCAGTCGCGCGTGACATCTCAAAAATAATATGCCATGCATGTGCGGAATAGTCTATGAGAGAAAGATAACCATATGTCGGAGTTTATTCAGATCTGAGCGTTGTTTCTTAGTGCAATATATACGAGGTGAGATCTTAGCTTGGATAGTTTGTTTTAATTATTATGAAATTTCAAGGACTTATTTTAGGCAAATCTCAATTGACCGCGTGCATCCGGTTCTCGGCCCGCGGCTTCGGCTGTTTGCGAAAAATTTCTACATGAAAATTAAAATCTGATTTTAAGAATTTTCTTTTAAAAAAACTTATGAAATGTCCCGTAGCTGCATTAATTGAATCACGGCTAAAATCTAGGCGGAGATTTTCGCAGAGAGCTTGCAGGTAATGAACATTGAGGAACGCGGATTGATCCTTTATGATTCGGCACACTGTCACAGTTACGTGTTGTCAGTCAAAGCTAAAATCTATTCCTAATTTTCTTCTCTTTTTTCAATTTCTTTTTGATTTGCTGGGAGATTTAATTTTTGGCTCCGCCTCGAGCTTTATTGAGAGAAGAATCCGGTCCACAATATGACAGCTTGTTTTGAGTCATTTATGAGTTCGTGACACGATGAATCCTTAAAAATTAACTTTGTGCGATTGTTACTTTTATAGTCTGAGTATAAGTATCCCAAAATACATTACAATATTGCACCTCAATAATAATAAGTAATAAGTACCCTATTTTAAAGTATTTAAAATAAGGTCAGCATTTGATGTCTTTCAGCAGACTTTAAATATTTTATGTACAATCTGTTTTTATAGTCAGAGTGTTGTGTGCCCAAAATACAATTCAAATAGACCTCAAAACAGTGTTTAAGTACCCTATTTAAAAGTATTTGAAATGCGGTCAGTAGTTAAGGACTTAAAACATATTTCAAATAGTCTATTTGAACTCTGTTTGTAACTTTGTGAGTGGATGCGTCTCAAAATACATTTTCGATACAACTCAAAACAGTGTTAAAGTACCCTATTTAAAAGTATTTAAGATACGGTCAGCATTTAGGCTCTCAAAACATATTTTAAATAGTCTATTTGAATTATGTTTGTAACTTTGTGAGTGGATGCGCCTCAAAATACATTGTAGATGCAACTCAAAACAGTGTTAAAGCACCCTATTTAAAAGTATTTAAAAAACAGTCGCATTTAAGCCCTTAAAACATATTTCAAATAGTCTATTTGAACTCTGTTTGTAACAGTGTTAGTGGTTCTATGCCCAAAATACATTTGAAATACCCTATTTTAATCATATTTATTAAACAAAATACATTGTAAATTGATGAGAGAGGTTTTCCTTTTGATGAAATATAATTTAACTACACTTAAGATATATTCCAAACAGGGGAGAAAATTTAAATTTTTTTGTCAAATAGGATTAAAATACAGGAAAATAGTATTCAAATACTGAAAATACATTTTAAACACTTTAAAATCAGTTTCAAAATACATATGGTTTGGTAAGGGAGGGCAGAAGCCCCATTAGGGTAAAATCCGACGAGCCACATGGCCTTTGAACAGCGACAATGGAGCAGAAATGGTGACAAGCGACACAAAGATGGGTTGAAAGTGTGACAGCGAGAGAGAAAAGCGAAAATATAATAGTAAAATACCGACAGCGATATGGCTTCCTCCTCAAACGTGAAACAACAGGTTTTGAAATTCAGACTAGGGACGTACGTAACCCTCCTGAAGCCCTGATAGGGCCTCTTAAAGGGACAGTGTCCCGATTATGCGCACACGTGAGAATCATCTGTTCTTTCTTAAAAAGACAAACTGTCATATTGACGCGACAAGATTTCCTTCTGGACCGCACCGCCGACGGAGATTTGTTGGTTACATTCTCAAATAATATTTTAGACTTTCGAAGAAGTCCTTCGCCTTATTTATAATTTAAAATAAAATTACTCGAGTGGACAGTAGAGTACAAAAGTGTGACATCATAAAAATAAAATTTCTGAAATCATCCTGAGTTGTCAGAATATTCTGAAAGAACAATGTCCAAGAGGCCTACTTGCCAAAAATGAGCATTTTGCACAGTATCCAGAGGAGTTTCCTGTGAATAAATGAATTACTTATTTAACGTCTCACCTTGAAAAATGTCTATACCTGTAGCTTGGCACGATTAATTAATTGTTGTTCACCATTTTGAAAATCAATGACCGCAAGCCATATCCTCGCTGGTGCACGGCACGTCGCCCGAAGGGTGACCGAAGGCTGTCGCTCAAAGGGCGACCAAGGCACTGTAAGCCGATCTTGCGAGCCCTCAGTCTCTTGGTTTGCGGTCTGTAGAATGTGTAACGAAACTGTAACGCGATCAAAATAACCCATTTTTTCAGAGGTTTTCGACGGGTTTTGATGTTCTAACGACAAACACATCTCCTCTGGACCCTGTGCATTTCGGGGCAAATTGTCTCTGAGATCGTTGCCCAGTTATACTTAGAAAACTCCATACAAACCCTTCTAAATTTTTTTGGGTCGACCCAAAAAAAATTGAAGGGTTTGTAAGGAGTATTCTGAGTATAACCGGCTAACATCTCAGAGACAATTTGCCCCGAAATGCTCATTTTTGGTAAGTAGGCCTCTTGGACATTGTTCTTTCAGAATGTCTTGACAAATCCCATAATTTCAGAAATTTCATTTTTATGACGTCATCACTTTAATACTCTATGGCGGCGAGTGTCATGAGTTTACTGCGCTCCCGCTATTTGTGCTTTTTACTTCTTCTATATGTTTTCCTCTTCGAATATTCACCTCAAAAACACTCACTTCCAACTCGACACAAGGATAGCAGCGTCCTGTATGTGGCTAGAGATTTAAGCTAACCTAAAATAAGTGAATTGCAATTTACAAGGAGGTCGAGCTATTGCAAAACATCGAAACCATCGCTAACAAATAGAGAACTCGCCGTTACTGGTTGTCGCTTGGCACGTTCAGCGTCCTTCGCACTACTACTAATCTCTCTTGCTGGTGACTTCTAGACAAATCCTGGCCCCGTTGCTTCGCCAAGTCTGTCTGTAAGAGATTTTACGCGGTTCAGAGGACTCAAGGTCGCCTATCTGAATATAAGAAGTGTCTATCCTAAATTGGACTCGTTAAAACTTTGGTTGCTCAACCAGCCCTTCGATGTTTTTACTGTGTCGGAGAGATGGCTCAAACCATCGATTCCGGATAACGAAATTCAGATTCCTGGTTATTCTTGCGTGAGATCTGATCGTCTTCACAAAACAGGTGGTGGTACTATGGCCTATGTTCGAGATGGTATTCCTTATCGACTTAGACCTGATCTTGGAGCTTCTTTACCTGAATCTTGTGTCATCGAAATCTCCCGACCTAAATGCAAGAAACTAATTATCTGGACAATCTACAGAGCACCTGATTCTAATCTGGAAACGTTTATTCAAGATTTAAATACATCTTTGTCTTCTGTGCCCGTTAAGACTGAGCTTATTTTGCTCGGGGATTTCAACATAAATTTTGCAAGTTCTGAGATGAATAATGATAAAGCCAAGAAGCGCAAACTTCTCATGGCCAAAAATTCCGGACGTGGCGCCCGCGAAACGGCAGCGGCTATCATATATCTCCGAAACAAACATGGCGATTAGGTTTACAAAGAAATGTATGGAGCGAAAAAATATAATTGAGGATAGAATAATTTCTGGCGTACCTGTAACATTTCCCAAGTTGGAATCCGTTAGAAGAAACAACCGTCATCCCATGTTGTGAATGTCAAATCTACACCAAACCGTTAACACCGTCCTTTTTTAGTGCGATTTTAGCGCTACTCCCGCTCTCTTTAGCCTTCTATTTTACGCGGAAAATTCCAGAAGTAGCAGTCTTCCATTGCAGCTGGCCATGTTTCCGTGGGATGGATTAATTTTGCCAAGTTCATTCCTCAAAGTCCAAATCATGTTCCACAAACACAGCGATTTTCAGGTCGATTGATAACGATTAACAGCGTCCTTTTTGGCGATGAAAACACACAGTAACACATAAATATAAAACTGCAAAAGCAGAATCACTCAACCGTGAAGTTGCGAAAATGAGCTCATGGTAGCTCGATTTTTTACGCGAAAAACTCACTTCTTCATGGCGTTCGCCAGCTTCGTTGGGTCGCCATTTTGATATCAAAATAAAGCTTTAAACCAGGCCTTCAGACTCCGTTGAGAAATGGGGAGAGTGGTTAAACAATCAGGTTGGTCAGCGTTGTAAAGAGCGGGAATCTTGCGCGCGTACGTTTACGTTCTAGTTTTGGATTTCGTTACCAAAAAAAAAAAAAAAATGTCGGACCGGTTAGAAGGTTATGATCTCAGTAAGTTCAAACAAAACATTTCTTTATCAACTGAACATTGCCTGAATTACGTGAAACAAGATTGTATTGATGGAGATAACATTGCTTTTACGGTTAACATTCCGAACGAGCACCTTAGAAGTTGGCGTGACCTTCGAGAGGAGGGGGGCTTGTTGTGTCAATTCTCCTACGTGGAAATTTTGAATGCCATGATTGATGAATACGGCGTTAAAATTAAGGAAGACTGCGCAAGAATTGATGGTTTACTACAAAGAAGCAGCGGCACTGTCAAAAGCAACTGCCGGAAGCTCCAGGGTCGTGCCAGACTTCAGTATCTGAGTAACATTAGAAAAATTGCTATTCGTCAAGATGAATTAATTAACGTGGGACTCATAGAAGAAGAACTAAATATAACCAAAGAAAATGCAAGAGGGTTACTAAAAGAAAATGAGCAGCTGCAAAAGCGTTGCGAAGAACTATACACGGAACTTCAAAGTGCACTTCAGACCAAGAAGGAGGTTGAAAACAAACTGGATGATGTTGAAAATGGAGAAAGCCGCATACCGCTGCGCGGGCTCAAATTCCGCCATTTTGTCCGGAATTTCTGGCCATGCCAGGTGACAAATGTTCATCACCATGACCAAGTAATTAACACATCAACGAGGATAACGGAAACGTCATCTACAATGACTGAATTATTGTTTTCTAACACTTCTCATCATGTTATTGACCGAGGCGTTATTCCATCCCCTTTAAGAGACCATTGTTTTATCTTCTGTGTTATCAAATCAGGTGCTCCCAAAGCTCCAGGGAGAACCATCGAATATCGGTCATACAAACATTATTCCAAGCAGGAATTTGTGAATGACTTTATAGAAATTGACTGGAACCAAGCTCTAAAAAAGCAGGACATTGACTCCGCGGTCAAAGATTGGAAAAATTTTTTTACTAATGTTGCCGATAGTTATGCTCCGATGAGAAAACCAAGAAATAAAGGGGTCCGTTGTCCCTGGATAAACGCACAGCTATCTGAAGCTATGCACCAACGAGATTATTTGCATCGTAAAGCCCTGAAAACAAAGCCTGCCAATCATTGGTCACGCTATAAGGAACTTACCAACTACGCAAATAAGGAGACAACGATATGTAAATCGGAATACTGTTCTAAGCTTATTACCCAAAACAAATCTAATCCAAGTGCATTGCGGAAAACTCTAAACGACATAACATCTCGCAAAGAAAGAACTCCCATCTCCTGCTTTGAGGCCGACGGTGTTCAATACTGCAGCAATAAATCTATCGCCAAGATTCTCAATGAACACTTTTCAATAATTGAAACTAAACTGGCGCAAAAGCTCAAGTCTTGTAGATTCCACATCTACTCGGCGCCTGCGGTAAACTCGAATCTACCCCACGAATTTGCTTTCGAGCCAATTACGGAAGAATTTGTT